GCCTTTGTTGCTCATGATTTTCTTTGATATTCTAGGTCTCTTTGTTTCTCAATAAGTTTTAGAAATGCTTCCTTCAAATCTTTGAGAAATGCAAATGTTGTATTCACTGGGATTGTGTGAAATCTGTATAACAGCTTTGGGAGTATGGTCTTTTTCACAATGTTGGTCTTTCCTATCCATGAGCATGGGATATTTTTTGATTGTCTGATAACTTCTTCAATTGGTTTTTTCATAGTTCTGCAATTTTCAGTGTGGAGATGATTTATTCCCTTGTTAGAGTGATTTCCAGGTATTTAATTTTTTTGGATGCTACTTTGAGGATGTATTTTCCCTAATTTCTCTCTCAAGCACTTTGTTATTTTTCTAAAGCAATGCTATTGATTTTTTTAGGGTTGACTTTAAATCCATCTCTGCTATTGAATTTGTTTATTAATTCTAGAAATATTTTGGTAGAGTTCTTGGGATCTTCTCTTTTTGTCCTTTTTGTGAGATATTTGCATTGCATTTATTTTTCCATCTCTCCACTTTCTGCCTATGTGGATTGTCACAAAGCGAGGCATACTATAAGGTGGATATTTTAGCAAAGTGGTAGAAAGTGGGCAACATTAGATACAAGGACTTACCTGTGCTTTGATGGAGACTTCCACCTTATATCTCAATCTGTTAGGAAAATTACTTAAGTTGCAGAGAGTTCCTCCTTATTCTCATGCATAGAGACTGCTGCTGAAGTTGCAATAGGGGATCATACATACACATATGTGCACACACATTAAAGTACAAAGGGAAGCCTTGCAGCAAACATGGCAGTTCAGAGGCTGCCAGGAAAATCTATAAGTGCTCTCATGTGGAATGTGATGACAGAGACGAATAGAGTATTTGAGTCCATCTTAGGTAGTATGCAGCTGGACTAAAATACATATGATTGCATAGAACTCAACAAAGTATGTGCAACACCTGTGCTCAGTCTTATAAGTGCATAGAATTAAGTAGATTGCTTTCTAATTTAAGGATTACATACTTCTGTGGAAGTATAAACATTATTTCCTCCACATTTGCCTTTTATATTGAATGAGTTTCTATCAAAATACCATTATTTAAGGTCTACTTTCTACTAATTTTTTTCTATGTATATTTAACCTCTATTCAACTTGGTATTTTCCCTACTTATATAATGACCCCTTCCCATTTAAAATACTATACATGTTTATAATTCAGCAATATTTAATATAATATTTAACAGTCTTGATTCTGGTCTATGTCTATTTATAATAATCCAAACAGGAAGAGGCAATATGACTTTGGAAAACTGTTTGTGCTTTAGATTCATTATCTGTAAAATGTGTCTTGAATAAGATCTTCTTTCTATAATGTTGTAAGAAATTACTAGAGCTAACATTTTCTACTAAACAATCTTGTGTGTTTTATATATCTTATTTGTCAGGATCAGTAAGATAAGCCTTCATAACACGTGTAAAACTTTGTCGGTACTGTGTTCATAAAGTGCAGTTCAAAAGTAATTTTTCCGGGGGTGGGGATGTAGCTCAGCGGCAAAAAGCGTCTGCCTGGCAAACGCAAGGTCGTGAGTTCGGTTCCCGGTACCGGAGAAAAACACAAAAAAAAAAAGTAATTTTTCTTCATGTACTTAAGTGCTTAATTCTAATGGACAACATTCAAAAGTTTTTCATCTATCTTTTATTTGTTTTCTGTGTCTTGCTTTGAGATATGAAACTCTGTCCATGGGCTGGGGATTTAGCACAGCGGCAAAAGCGCCTGCCTGGCAAGCACAAAGTCATGAGTTCGGTTCCCGGTACCGGGGAAAAAAAAAAAAAAAAAAAAAAAAAAAAGAAACTCTGTCCATCCAGCAAATGTATTTATTTCATTTGTCATTCTGATACTAATCTTCAGATAATTATCTCTGCCCACATGGTAATTAAGGAAAACAATCAGTGACAAGGAAGGTGTATGAGAGCTTTGCTTCCCGTCATTGACCTTTGATTATTTGACACTTAGATAGGGAAAATAAACAACATAAACATGACATTTAATTTTGGGAGGGAATTATACAGGCAGAGAAAGACTGCTACTGGTAAGATGAAATGGGATGTGAAAGTAGAAAGATCAGACAATGGGGGGAAAAGTAACACAAAGCATAGAACTTGATTAAAAAGTAAAGAGCAGCAGTAAAAGTTTTCTCACTGCTGGGGCAGGAGGGGTCCATACATCAGTGTGAAGAGTGGTGGGTCAGGTGAACCAGGTCAGCTAGAGTTGCATCGTGCAGAAGTCTTCTCCAGTTAATGATACTGAGATAGGTTTTGTAACTGAAAGCTTCAGAGCAGGGATATATGTAATTTAAAGTTCGAAATATGACTAACTTCTAGCTGTGCAAACGATTATTCAGAAGCAAACCTAATGTAGAGTTAAGAAGTAGAGTTTGAAAATAGTGCAAAGATCCACTTCAAATTTCATGATGAACTGAAAGGAAATTTTGAAGAAAATCTTAAAATATTTCAGGACTTTAATAATATATGAGATAAATTGATGTTAAGAGTGGAAAAAAGACAGATTAAACGGGATTACTATTAGCCACTGAATTGAAATTACTGTGATTTGATGTGAAAAGTGTAAGGAGAGGAACTAATGATGTATGGATGCTGCACAGTTGTGACTATATAAATCACATTCACATTGCAAATGGAATGCAAGGAAATCAAATGCCTATGAAGTTTGGCGATTTTACCAGGTTCTCATTAGCTAACACCATCTCTTTGAGATTTTGCTTAGGCACCCATACCTTCGGTATTAGAGGAGGCATCATAAAGGTTATAGTGTATGATTCAAATTGTAGTCTGTTATAGGCCAAGGCTTTCAAAAATTTGCTTGAGTATGAGCCTAGCACTCAGGGACCTAATACTCAAAGTGAGGACCTCAACAAATGGGTTTGTTTTCTTAGCAACATGAGTTTATCCTTAGTGCAGTTCAGAGTGAGGCAGTTTGGAGGTGCAGTTCTTAAGAAAGAAATCACTCAAATCATGCACATCACAGTGATTGATTGGCACTAGAACTTCTAAGTGCGCTGTTGAATTTTTCATCTTCCTTGCTTCTAAATTTAATTAAGGGAAGCACTACTGTCTATTTCATGACTGATTCAATGTGGTTGATGTAACATTGATATATATATGAAAATTATATCTGGATTAATCTTATTTGGATTAATTTTAATTCTCTCATGTTCATTTGCAAATGCCACTGACAAGTTGTGAGAAACCATCAAGACATTTGCATGTGATCACACTGAATTAGAGATGATGGATTTGGGAGCATGCAGGCTGTTACAAAACCCAGTGGACAGAAAAGTCTTCTGGAGGAGAAAGAAGAGGCATAGTTTTCAGACCCAGCCATGGCTCGTCCTCTGCTGGACTTTAGCCATTTACTCCCAGCCAGAAACCTGGCCAGAATGCACATATAAATAGGGACTCTCAAACTATGGTAAAATTGTAAAACTTCAATTTCATTTTGAATCACCTTATAAAAAGTTTGAAACGGCATGTAAATCCATTTTCAGTGTTCACAAGTGTTTTGTAGAGATTTATTTGTATTTTGAAGAATGTATACATTCAAGAAAAATAAATGATCTTACCATATGGTTCATTTTAAACCTAAGCAGTTTACAATATCACACAGAAATGTATAAGAATTTCAAAAGTTTTCTTCAAACTAATGTATATCTTTATCTCCAGAATTATAGATCAAATAGTAAAATTCAAATTGTAGGTAGACATTAACTAACTTTGTAGGAATAAAACAAGTTCAACAGTATATCTGATAAAGAAAACCATTTAAATATGAGTATTGCCATTGATTCTTGTTGTAAAGTGAGAAATAATCACCTCCCTTATTTCCTCCCAATACTTGGTCAAAATATTAGGCTAATAAATTCTTAGCACAGCAAATAAATGATTGAATTCATGAAAGATACATTGGAAAAAACAAATCATAATCTTTTTTTTTTTTGGTACTGGGAATCAAACTCGGAACCTTGCACTTGCCAAGCAGGTGCTTGTACCACTGAGCTATATCCCCAGACCCATAATCTCATATTCCAAATTTTCATTCTGCCCAGAAAGTTAAAATTTATTACTAAGTATTGATTACACATTTTCTCTACTGATATTTAAATATAATGAATTAACACTGAGGTGATCAATATTTTTCAAAGTTAAAAACTTCACAAAATTATATATCCTTTGATATTTTTTTCTGTTATTTCCTTTAAAAATATTTGGTTCAAATTTCACATTTTGTAATTAGAAAACAAATCAACCTATCAATCTATTTTTTGAAATTTAATGAGCGAAAATCAGTGACTCAATGGACAGGGCACAAAAATGACTGAAAAGAAGGTTATGTTTATCTAAATGACGGCAATAAAAATTATGGAGAAAGATCTTTGACACTGCAATGCACTATTACTGTGTAAATTCATACTCACATCCCGATAACATTTGGCAAGCTAAAGAGCTAATTTTTATGACACAAGAAAATCATCACTTTCTCTTAAAAAACTGACTTCCTGTGACAGTGGTTCTTTGATTTTATGGTATATGGAGAAGTGGACATATGACACTTGTGAGTTTGCCTTCATCAAATTCTATGTACACTGGGAAGCTTCCTCAGATTCCAAATGTACTTAGCATATCAATCAAAGTTAAATTTTAAATGATCCTCTGAACAGAATTTATTTAGAATTAATAGCTCCCTGGTAAAGCCCCAGAGGAAAAGGCAAATGAAGACTCATCCTGTTGTAGACTCTCTGTCTTGTAAAGAGAACAACACAAACCACATGAATATGAGTAATTTTTTCAAAACCTTGTTACCATTTGCCAAACACATAATCAATGTTCACAGAAACAAGATATGATATTTGAAAATAATTGGAAGATGAGTTCTCCAAATGCTCCTTGGGGCTGGAATTAATATTATTGTCCAATTCAGCACTTTGTTAAGCTTACAAAGATCTAGTCCCTCTTTATGCTCTTTCCTGTCTTAATAAATTTATGGTAGGAAAATAAGCAACACTTTGTGACCAACAACATAGCAGTTATTACACAGGCCAGCAGGAACCCAATCACATCCAAAGAGTGGTACTGGAACCAGGAGAGGTCGTGGGCTGCAACCCGCAGGTGATTGGCTCCTTTGTGGCGCATGACAAACTCGACCCAGAAGACTGCTCGGTCCAGGGGCTTCATTGGCTGGTCACGGTGAATTCTTGATAACCTCATGGCATTCTCTTTATAACTGCATGAAAAAATGTAGAAAAAAATAACAGTTGCTTAACTTAATGTAACTATGAAACATTTGTTATTGTAGGAGTCAAAGATCAAACACAGATTCTGAAAACTTTTAATTAGTGCAGTAGCGTCCTCAAAGTGCTTAGAACTTTTACGGTTGAAAAGAGGAATGTGTGGAAGAAATATATTCTTAACACAATGTGTCAAATGTGCACAAAAGAAAAGAAATAACATTGTATTGTTCATATGTGGCTTAACTGTCCTGTGAAAAATTTGATTTTTCATTTGAACTCTAGTATTGAGAACAGTTCTAAGACCACAATGTTGAATGATTGAGAATGATTCAGAATTATGGAATAATTCATTAAAAACATGGAAATCATGGCAACTAACATCTGACTAGTTTGCTTTACAGAAAGAGCCAACTGAAAATAAATGAGTCATTTTTTACTGTTTTAATTGCACCTTTGCATATGTTTTTATATTTATAGTTAAAAACCATATATCTCCAAGCCAGATAATCACTGAATGAAAATGTTAGGTTAATTTACAAAAAGAAATGTTCAAATACATTCACTTTCAGTTGATAAAAGGAAATAACAATATCCTTCCAAATTTATACTCCCTAACAATTAGAAATTGCTACTGCAATAATGATAAATTTCAGATATCTCTTTCTCAAACAACCTTGGGGAAAACTATATGTTATTAAGAACAATATATATTTTCACTTCAAATTTCCTGATAATTTCAGTAAATTAGTAGGTTTTACTTTTGTTTGTGACTTGAGTTAAAGTGACCTACTGGATTCATCAAGAAAAGAAAATGTAAGTGGTTCAGGAAGAGATGTCCTGCTGTTGGCAGTACATTGTGAGAAGAGAGAGAAAGAAATAAGATGAGAGTTTGCAAATGTTTGTGAAGCAATAGATCTAAAACCAGGGATTATTTTATTATATATTTCCTTGAGCATAGAGAAAAAAACAGCTGTCCTATTTCTCAGCTGTACTTAAACATAAGCAAAGTCCAATAATATAACTTCATTATCCTTATGCATGTCAGACAACCTAATATGACAATGGAAGCCTTTTTCCACAAAATTGGAGTTTCGTTCAAGATTTTCCCAATATACATATACACTACTTACAATCGTTTCTTTATTTAAATTTGAAGTATACATATATTTGACAAATATTTCAGAGCATGTAAATACAAATAAAAATAAGTTATGCTTTTAAAATAACATATATGCATCTATATATACCTTGCACTATAACTTTGCATTCCCAAATAATTTTAGAGGTAATATAATGTCTGTCGTCAATAGAAAGCTTTCTCAAACAATCTTTAGTATTTTCTTAGAAATTTTATGTACTTATAGTTGTTTTGCTTCATCAATAGTTTTAAAATCAATAATATAAATTGAAGAATACTTAATGCATGAGTCAAGAGAATCATAGAATTTATCTACTTGCACATCCAACAAAAGAAACCTGGTAATTAATACAATTACTTTACAATCAAGACCAATTTTTGAAGACCAAATAACATACTAAAAATGACTGAATCTCCCATTTAGAGTCCCATGTAGAGCAATGGTTTCTACATTACTATGAAATATATGACAACTATTAAGAAATGGCTATTATATTAAGAGAGTACTGAATTACACTGCCAAAACTGAGTATTAATAGTTATTTTAGAATGACTAACACTGAGCACATTATAACCTTCATATTTATTTTCTGAATTTTAGCACATTAACTTTTATATAATATTAAACAGGTTGTTCAGAAAAGACTATAAAATTGAATAAAAATAAAATAGTATTTGAAGATTATTTTTAGTTTGTTTTTTTAATTTGGTCTCTCAAACCGTAATAGCACGTCAGATACTGTAGTGAAATACTTGCTTCTATAGCAGTCATATTGCACCACTGTTATATTATTTGCCAGTAACCCAGTTAAAATGTATGCAATGTTCCAAATTTTCCTGTAGGATGGAAAGCAGAGTCAGTGGAAGTCAGCCGTCACACGCAGCAGTACTTACGAAGGGTCGTTGATGACTGCTCTCAAGGCACCCAGCAGGTCTGCACTTGTCATTGTGTTCATGTTGACCTCCACGGCTGCTCCTTTGGCCTTCATATGAGCGATGTTGTCAGGCTGATCTCCAAATAGGGGGACTCCCACCATGGGGACCCCGTGATAAATAGCTTCATAGATCCCATTGGTTCCACCATGAGTGATGAAAGCTTTGGTTTTGGGGTGGCCTGGTTTAGGGATAGGTTTAGATTGAAAAATGGACAAACATACAACACGTTAGAAGAATATCAGAGACAGAAAAGAGGAAAGGAACTCCATGTCAATGAGGAGGGCGGTATTTTCTACAAAAGCTGAGCATTGTTACCGTGGAAAAGGGTAATCCCTGCAGGAGCAGAACTCTACTCCTTTCTTTCTGTAGCTGAGGCCTGACTAACGGTGATGACATATGATTGAAGCTCCCAGGCTGATGAGCTTCTTAACAGAAGATGCTCTTATGTGAATCAAAGAAACAATGTATCAATAAAATTAATGGACAGTTACATCTCTTTTAAAACTGGACATCAAAGGTCAAATGTTCAAGTAGTTAAACATTTTTAATGCATTTGCTCTGAGAAAGTTACTGAAATTATCTGTTGTCCAGCTGCACAGCTGTTCTCCTCTCAGGTTCTTACCAAGAAGGTCGTTCTGGGGAATCCAATCAAACAGCCGAGTATTGGGTCCTAACGTGGCTGGCTCCTTTCCCTTGTATCTCCATAAAACCTGTGGAGGACAATGCTGTCACTTTGCAAGTAAGAATAGAAAATGTGTGTGTGTGTTACTGCTGTGCAATTGTTTAGAAATCACATAGCCATCACCTTACAGGTGATAATTGAGAGGAGGGTACTTGTGCTTGTATGAGAAGGTGGTACTAATATTCTACTGTGAACAACAGTATTATTTTGAGATGTATGACATTGTGAGTAAACATGTATTATTTTCATATGAATCATTAAATGCTGTTAGGAGAGGTTCATAATTAAAATGTAGAAACTAATTAAGAGCAAAACAGCATATTGGGATTTAAAACAGGTTGAAGTACCTGTATGATATATAATTGATTTATTAAGTGTAACTTAGGCATTTTTGGTCTCAAATTTAATGTTTGACCGTATTTTTTTTAACTTCAGATTCTGTGATTTTTCATGCCTATTTTTTCTTCTCATTTACTCCTCATCTTTCCTCCTTCCTCCATTTCTGTCTCTTCCTGCATCCCTTCCTCCTTCCTTTCTTCTCTCCATTATCTCTCTGATTTTCTGTCCTTCTTTCCTCCTATGTTCCTTTCTATCTTGCTTTATCATTTTCTATCCTTCTTTTATTATTCTTATTTCTTAGCAGGGCAGAATTGGGAACTTTGTTTATACTACATTTTAATGAGGTGTTTGCTAAAATTCTAAAGATTGTTTACATAGACTTTTTCTGGGAGAAATAAGACAATGTTTTGATTCACTAAAAGGCAGAGAGCTTTAAAATAATAAGCATACAAATGAATCTCTTAAATTTTAACAAATTTAGAATAGTTGCCTCTATGCAATGTATAGAATTTAACAAATGTATGAATACAATGAATTGTAGAATATAAATTCAGATTAATAATGTAGCATAAAGGAGAAAAAACATTATTATTTGACAGTTACATTAGAATTTCAATGTTTAATTTTGAATGAATAAGTAAATATAGTTTTCTATTTTAAAATCAATTTTAACTTTGACAGAATGTAAAACTCAGACATTGAGAGTATATTTTTGAGTATTTTGTCTCTCTTCAATGTATAAGCTCGTTCCTGTTCTGGACCACAGCAGTAACATCTTTCAGGACATTTTGCATGCATTAGTGCCAGTCAAAATATTTAGAATGGCCTAATATTTTCATCTCTATTCCATTAAACATAAGTGATTATGAAATATGTTTTCTCGGTAATACCAACA